TCATATTTCTATATAAAGTTGCTGCCCTTCTATCCAAAACTGAAAACCGCAGGTCTCTAGCTGTTTCCTAGCCGAAGTTATTCAACTTACAACCGACTGCACTGTTCATTGAAATGGATATTAGTTAGGATGAAAATAAATATAAATTATACTTGCTATTTAAATAATTTTTCTAGGAACAACCTATTGATGATTCTGATGATGTGTTAACATCAATGATGATGAGTACGACACCGGGTAGTTTTGATCCAACTGATCAAATGTCATCATTATCAACATCATTTAAAAATTTTCGTAATCCTCCATCAATATTACCATTTGGTCGTTCACCAGGTTTTCGAAATATATGATGACAATCCTCTTTTTTCTTTCTTCTTTGTTATATCTAATTAGTCGTGTCGTCTTTCATTCAAATGAAAAGAGAGATGTTGTTTGTTTGTTTCTTTTTTTTTGTTGTTTTTTAATAATAAAAAAAAAAAAGAAAAAGAAAACGATAAATCAAATATTAATATAATCACTGAATAGAATAATAAATTACACAAAAAAGAAAATTTTTGTTTTTTTTTTTTTTTATTAAAATTAAAAGAATATATATGTATTCATTATTACATTTTGTTTTAATTAAATGTCATTGCTGCATCACGTAATTCTGATGTAATCTATAAAGTAAAACAAAAAAATAAACATATTTCGATTAAATCGAATATGAAAAATAAATTTACTTGTTCATAAAATAGAATTTGTTCATTCATAAGTGTTTTCATATATAAATTCAAATCTTTAACTTTTTCTTTTTGAAAAAAGTTTATTTCAGCTAAAACAACATGATTAAGAACTTGAGCACGATTTATTACACTGTTAAAATCTGATACTGTTGACGGACCACGTTGTTGTATGTTTCGTATAAAATCTGATCCACACTAAAATAATCAATTTGAATTACAAAAAAAAAAAAGATCAAATTCAATTTGTGTATTTACTCGTTGAATACTTAATATCAATGGAAAACAAGCCAAAAGACCAATATATTCTTGAGCACGTTCATTAAAATCTCGAATACCTTCACAAGCCTAAATCAATAATTACAAAAAAACTCTACCAATCAGATAAAAAAAAGAGTCAGGACAGGATTTAATTAGCAATATATTTATGATATTATGTACGCAAAGGATAGGAAGTATTAACGACATGTCTGTACCAGAGATGTGCATCGCCCCTCAAAATCGACCAGCGGCGGTGGAAAATCACAGTCGAATTTTCAAATGGTGACGGGCGGTACGGACCGCTACGCGAGCCTTTTTAGCGTGCGAAACGGCCGCACCATACTTTGTGGAGAGGGTCGTACGGTACGACCGCTCGGGGTTCACTGAAATTGTTTTTTATGATTTTTTCCTTAAATTTATTGCAACAGTTTTTTTAATGAATACTACGTAATGTACTGATCCAGTAAGCTCGTTTCAATGTAATTCAATAAGTCTAGAACTAGATCGATGTGATGGGAAAAGTTATTAGAAAATAACGCAACAATAGCATAGAAGATGATAGCTTTTATGATAATTAATTCAATAGTAATATCACTAGACATAATAGATTTTTAGCCTTGTACTAGAATATTTCTTTTACATCCATGTTCAAAAAGTTCTCGAGCTGATTTTATTTTGAAACAGACAAAAATGTGGATGTGGTCTGTGTTTTACACACCCGCGCCGCTATTAACATATCTGATCAACAATGACGCGAACTGAAGATCCTTCATAACAACTCAGTCAAACGCAAAAACTTGAAATACACGTGCAACTGCATGCACATGTACGATATGAGTTTACATGACTTGCGTGTGAACGTGTTATAGAGCACATTATATACACAATTACACGCAATAGACACTTGCGAATGTACATGCATTTTACTATTGTATGCGAGAATATCGAAACTTTTTTAAATAAAATTTCGTATGCGTATGGAATAAAATTCTAGAATCATGGAAAAAACGGAGCATATGTAGCAGTCATACATGAATGCATAGTAGTCTTTTTCACAGATAAGATTCAAACATATGTAGTGTGTTTTATAAAATGAACTCTTCATCATTCGACTATCTACTGACATTAGAAATGCAATCAAAACTGAAGGATATCATGACAGCTCAATAACTATAAAGTATGCATATACATGAATGCTAATTACTGAGAACAATTTTAAAAGTGAATAGAATTTTAGAGTTCTTATAGTTTAGTTGCACAGAAAAAATGATCTCATACACGAGTCATGTATCTTGCAGGCACATTTAGAACCATTGCATGCGAGTATTTGTTACAATAAGAGCCATACATAATCTAGCATGCTTTACCTAAAATGTTCAAAAAATTGTGTTTGTATGCATGCAGTTGTCAAATGCATGCCTATTATACATGTACTACTGCTTTGCATTTATGCGAAAAAGTTTCTAATATTTCAAATGATTTGCATGTTCGTGTATGAGATGTATCGATTGAAAAATTATCTTATAAGCTAACGCGACTTTCTAGTGAGCTCAAATGGCGAGTTACATTTGGAGTAGTTTTTTTTTGTTAGCTGAACTATTCGCTTTCTTTTTGAAACCCAAGTCATATATTAATTCATTTGTCATCTTACTTTCGTTTTATATAATTCTGCTATTGAATTATATGAAGTACTAATTTTCCATGTTGAATCGGAAAGTTCTTTATTACCTTGAAGAAAATAAATGAAGAATTTTAAATAAATCGAAGAAATTCTTAATTTAAAATACTACCAAATGTAGTTGTATCAAGTTGTAGAACTTTTTGAAATTTAGCAAAAAGTTCACCGATACGTTGAATATCACGTTCATAGATTTCAGTATGTCTTTCAAGATATTTTACTAAACCTTGAGTAAGATTTTTTAGTTGCATTTCAAGATTTGGTTGTTGTTGAGTAAATGCATCAATATATGATACACTAAATAAACATTGAAGAAAACGACGAATTAAGAAAAAAAAAAAAAGATTATAGTAGATTTTAATACATGTCTGCATCTGATAAATTTGAATTTGTAAATGAAACACACTGAAGCCATGATGCTTCACGTAATTCATCTTTTTCACTTCTTCGTTTTCCTGCTTTCCAATCCTCAAAAGTAGAATTTTATATGAAATAATTACTTCATTTTTGTTCTTTTTCATTATTTTTTACTTTATTATTTCCATCTGTAAGTTCACATGTTACAAAATGTTGTACAGGAAATGAAGCACAAAGTACTGGATGACGACAAACACGATTAAGCCATAATTCAAGTTGTCGACGACGTTCTTCAACAAATTCTTGGTCAAATCGTCCTTAATAAAAATTTTTATAAATAAATTTAGTTAAAATAATTAAGAACAAAAAAATGAAATCTCTACTTACCAGCTATTTGTTTTTCAGGTAATGGTGGAATACAAATAAAACGAAATTTATTAACAAGTTGTTCATGTAGCCAATCGAATTGTTTATAACGTCGACCAACAACCCGACTGCCAGATATCTAAATACACAGAAAAAATAAATCAACATGAAGATTCTTTTTTCAGTAAAAAGAAAAAAAAATCAATGTTTTTACTTGTGTATGAATTTTATATTCCATAAAAGTTTTGAATCCACCTAATTTTGTTCCTTTTTCTGGATCTTCAACTTTACATGTAAATGGTGGCATAGTAGGATTGTATATCCAATAAACACCACCTTCTTTTTCATCATACTTAAACAAAACAAAATTGAAGTTAACGAAAAAATATTTTATTCATTTTTCTTACACCTATTTGAACATGTTCGTCTGATTTTACTTTACATCCATGCAATAAATAATTGTCTATACCATGTTTATCAAAAAATCTGAATTAAAAATAAATAATTCAATAGAATGTCATATACAAATAAATTGGTTACCTAGCTCGTGGAGCTGATCCTTTAGCATCACCTTCTCCAATAGGTGCTTTGCTCGGATTTAGTAACTAAAAGTAAACAAACTTTTTTCTTCTTGGAAAAACAAAACAATAAAGAAACAAATGTTAGTATAAGCAAAACTACAAGACAAAAAAAAAAACAAGTGCGTTTCATTATATAAGATACAGAATACGATAAGAATTCAATGTTATCAACTAAATGATTAGTTTTAATTGTTGAAAAATGACTTACGAGCTTTTACTTTTCTATTATTTTGTCAAAATAAAAAATACGGAGTTGAAAAACAAAAAGTACAAAAAATATTTTACCGTATTGTGAAGTGTTGATCCTGAAGCATTGGAACTAAGTGAATTAGTTTCATCGTTTCCTTGTCGTAAAGATGACTAGAAAAAAAGTAAATTAATATTATAAAATTTCAATAATAAAAATAAACAAATAATTGATAGCAACTCGAAAAACTGGTAAACCCTAATTTGGTCGAAAGGTAAAAATATCAAAAGATAAAAATGTCGAAAATAAAAATACGGGATCTTAATGTGGATGTAAGAATTGGAATGAAGGTGAAAGAACTTATTTTCCCATACACTATCATTTTCAACATTTGTACCTTTCGATATTTCTATTTTTTTTTGTTTTCGACATTTTTACCTTTCGACATTTTCACTTTCAATCAAAGTAGGATGAATCGAAAAACTGAATGTAGTTATTCAGCTAAAATCTATTAATTACTCACTTCTAATGATGTTTCACTTAATGAATGTCCTTTTTCCCGTTCACGTTTTGGTTTTTCACGTCTCAATGTAAAAAATTTCTTTTTTGTATTGGTTGTAGGTGGTGCTGATGTTGCAGCTTCTTCAGATTTTGATTCTGATAGTGTTTTAGTTGTAGGATATTTACTCAAATTACTATTCTCTATTGGCACTGACGATTTATTGTGCATTGTTTGTGGCATCATCGTTTCAGGTTGATATGAACTCATTAGTTGTGATGGAGCATTATTAGTAACAGCAGACTGTGATACTTGTGATGGCATATTATAAGCAACGGCATACTGTGGTTCTTGTGATGAAAACATAAAATCATCAAATGTCGAAACTTGTTGTTCGTGTTTTGTTTCTGCGACTGTTGTTTGTGAATATCCAAATGAAGGTGTTAAATCGTGTTGTATTGAAGAATTTGTTGATAAAATCGGCGTGGATGCATTTGTAGAATCAAAATACCATGAATCGTGTTGATAGGACATTGCAACATTTTGTTGTACAGAATTTCTAGATGTTAGCAGAGATGAATCTCGCATTATTGGAATGTCTGTAACTGCTATGTATGGATCAGATGGTACAGATATTACAGGTATAAGATTAGATGTATTATCGTTTGTTGTTGCTGATACTAATGAATTGAAAGAAGTATCTGTATTTATTACTTGATTATTTGACTGCTATAAAAGTGGTGAGAAATATAAATCTCAATAAGAAAAAAATGCAACAAGAAAACTTACGACTGGTTCTTCATATACTTGCGAAGTTGGTTCTGTTGTCCAATCATTAATTGAAGTAAGATTTGTATTTTGTATTTGTTCTTGTTGCATTTGTGGTTGATAAGTTACTTCTGATGTTGGTTGAAGGTAAGTATTAGCATTATCGATTGGAGTATAATTAAAATTTATATCTTGAAATGTTGATGTTTGTTGTTTCGATTCTTCTTCATCATAGATTATTTCTACATAATTTGAAGGAATTGAGCCTGTTTGTCCAGAGGAATTTCGGGCGGACCTTTGTGATTTGTGAAAAAAGAAAATATTTAAATAAATAATAATTTATCTTACCACCATGGATCTTCAGCTGACGTTGAAGTTACTATAAGAATCTCATTTGCAGTAAAACTAAGTTCAGCTGGAGTTTCAGCAACAAATTCATATATTGCACGTGCTTTACATTCACTAAACGCCATTTTCTCATATAACGCAGTATATAGATATTAAATCTATGTCAACAACCGTCTTTTAAACATGTAAAATAAAAAACAAACGCTGAAAAACAAAAAATTATCTATAGGTAGACATAGAAGCAAAAAAAAAGATGAATTGCTTTACAAAATTTTTTTATTGGCTAGTCTCATAACCAACCTTTTTCATCGGCATAATAAAAAAAAAAAATGAATAATGATAAGGACTTTGCCGTTTTCATTTATGGAAGATTCCTTTGTAGATTTTTACCGAAAGATTAATTGGCAGTAAAAATCACATTTAAAAAACTGTTTGAATACAAAAAACTAAATTGACAAGTATTATATTATTTTAATTATAACAAAAATGACATATTTTTGTTTCAAATTATTTATTAGATAAATATTTAATCTTTAATTCTTGTTACAAAATAATGGACTCATCATTAACTGATACACAAAAGGATCAATCATCTAGTCAATTATCAAGAAATTCTATAACAGAAGAATCAAATTCTAATAAAAGTAATTCAGAAAATAAATGTTGATTATCTATATATATATAGAAAGAGATTAATTTATTATCATAGAAATATTAGATAGTTATCAAAAAGAAATTGAATATCTTCAAAAACAATTAGCACAAATAAACAATTATTCATCAACCATTAACTCGAAAAAAGATAATTCTCATTCATCATTGTCACAATGGTATCTATCAAATGAACTTTTAAATAAATCTGAAGAATGTCAAGCTTTTATTGATCATCTTAAACAAGAGTTTATACGTATTGATTCTCTTGTATCTGAAGCTAATACAATATCTGATGAAATGCAACGACAAATAATATATAATGTTATCTTACAAATACCTGATTCATATTTAAAACCAAGTGAACGTGTATGTTTATATTATTTTTTTTTTTATTATTTAAATTTATAAAATTATTTTGTTTATTTTAAGTCTATAAATAATTTATGTTTACCAGCTATTCAAGTCAAACGAGTAAATTCATCACCACAAATATGGGATATAGAAAAATTTGAAGCTCAATTAAATGATATGAAAAATCTTTATAAAAAATGGATAATATCTGAAAATAAAGTAAGAATATTTTCTTGAAAAAACAATGAAAGTTTTCGCCTTTATTTAGGCAGAGCTTTTAACACAAGAATTAAAACGAAATAATCCATTTTTTGATGAACAGTCGCACAGTTTTATTGGTGTTGCAAATATTTATTTGAAGGCTTTATTTTGTGATTCAAAACTTGATTATATTGTACCGATTATCAATACACAAGGAGAGGTAATATAAAAAATAAATCATCACCATTGATTGTAGCGACACAGCCTACAAGGTCTGATATGCATTAATAAAAACGATTGTCTAATCATGTAAGCGTCTGTATTTCAAGCTTATCCGCAACATACCAGAGCTATGATCAATATGAAACTCAATTAGCGATCTTATAATTTTCACAGTTTTCCTAGTAAATCTGCACATGAATATCTCCGCTCTCAGAATAGAAGATTATGGGTTTTCGAAAAGCTTTTTTCGAAAACTCAGTTAACTTTCTAAGTTAGGTATCTCAAAAGCGAATGTTTGAGTAGAAAAATGCTATTTTTTCTACTAAAACTCCTCGTTTTTCGGCACTTAGTTACCATAAACTTCTACTTAAATAATAGAAACTTTTTTCAAAACTCTTGCCGTTTTCTAAGTGAATGTCAACAAAAACTAGCTCGTAATAGAAGGCAACCGTTGGAAGAGCTATGTAATTTTTCATGATAGAAGCTTATGGCCTTTTATTCGGGGACGAGAGTAAGTTTTGTTGAGTAACATAATATTTTGAAATCGACAACAAGTGGCAAAAAAACACACTCTCAAAGCCTTGAAAGATAAAAAATTATTAATTGTAAAAAAAAAACAGCCACAAAGGTTTTTATATGCATAGCGGGTCGTAAATAGTACTACGATAAAAAAATTGAAATATCTCCACATCGGTTTGCTCAAATGACCTGATTTTTTTTTATTAGTGACAGCAGCTTGATTGAAGTTTTTCTTTCATAAAGATAACGTAAACAAATACTACTATCAATGTTATATTTTTGGCCTTACTGAAAAGAATCTCACCTATTGTCAAATAAGAAATATATATTTTAAGAGTTTCATAGATCATTTTCAATTATCAACTAAGAAAATAATCAAAACAAATTTTATGAAAGATACTATATTAATATAGATAGAGTAATTTTGCAAAACTAGTCAGTTTAAATGCTGAAATTCATTTCGTATAAGTAAAACACACAATTGCAACTTTTGAATTCCAACGTTGTTGTAAAAAACAATGTTTTACGTCTGAAAATTTGAACTTTTGTAATCGTTGACATTTAAACTAATAATTTGTTCTGAAGATTTGCTCTATGTGTATTAATTTTGTTTTTTTATTATTCTATTAGATGACAACTAAAAATTATCTATGCAATGCTTTGCATATACTTTTCTTACTTGACAACAAGTAAAATTCCTTTCACGATACCAACAGTAATTCTGTATAGTCGTATTTACTTAGTTTATCCGTATGATAAAAAAAAAACTTTGAATAAACTTCTAACATTAACTATACGTAATGAATATATGTTCAATAATACGATTATCTTGATATTACCTTTTTCATATCTAAAACTAAGCATGAAAATATGTAGCAGAGTTATCTATGAGATTTGATTTGTTGATCTCGCCTTTAAAATAGAGAAATGTAGGGTAAGATTTTTTCATATCCTGTAACAGTATTCTGCACAGGTATGACTGTTTGCCACTGGACTCGAATCGAAGCTAATTGACATCCGGCAAATATTTTCACAGGTACAATAGGATTTTCAAACTTTTATTTTAGGTGAAAAATTTTCTATTTAGTCTATTCTTAAACACTGACAAAAAAGAGATTTTCTGGAAGTCCACAGAAAAACCAAGTGATTCAAAGTTCACTCGACGTCTTTCTGCTTCTAAAATTCGATCAATTTCGCTATGTATTTATGTGCTTGTTGTCGATGAAGCTTGAATAGAACACAGTGTTGGTGTTAAAAGTCATAATCGTAGATTACATGGATGCTTTTTCCATCGCAATAATACATGTTCACATTTTCTATAATTGACTTTCATCTCCATATATTCAATTACTTTGATATACGGCTTATTATCATTTGCAAATGGATTTTCATTAAAAACGAATTCTATTAGTAAAACAATATTGATTTACACTTCTATCACCTGTTCTCAAATATAATAAATTGCTTAGGTTTTCACTCCTATGCTTTTATATAAATTGACAGTTTGAAAAAGTAAACATATTATGAAACGTTGAAATCTTATTATCTGCCAGACTATGTTCGTATATGAAATCATACCTGGTATTGGAACCAACCCAGCGAGTTTGTATCTGAACCCATGCTTCGTATCGAGCCGGGCACCAGTTTTCCGATCTGGTTGCAGGACACTATCTTGCGACCTGAATAAGAGAAGTTCTCTACCTCTTACCCTGCAGAATAGAGTAATCCTATACATATTTTAGTTTAAGTATATAATTCGAAGCTATACTTTCACAAAATCTGAAAGTTTCGAAAAATCTTATTGTTCGATTTCTTTAATTAATAAATACAACATATTTGTTTTTTCTTTTAAACAGATGTCTGGTTCACTTCATGTTGTTATGAGTCAAACAGGTTTATCATCAATGAAAAAATTCAACGAATTTCAAATAAATAATACAGCATGTAGCNTAACGACCGTTTTTGTTAGCGATCATTTTACTCTCGCTTTCTCTTCTTTTCTTTTTGCTATTTGAAAGAATGTTTGTGATGTAGTGACTAAGCAAGAGGCACTACATCACAAACATTCTTTCAAATAGCAAAAAGAAAAGAAGAGAAAGCGAGAATATGATCGCTAACAAAAACGGCCGTTAATTTTGCATCAACCCAATACGTACACGAAGACAAGATTTTTAGAGATCTTTGTTATGAGATATTGAGGGATAGGGATAAAATGGTTTAGGATATTAAGTGCTGCATTAGAGTAACACAGAATTCGAATTTCGCAAGTGAACTGTCAGAAACACCAATTTCATCTTCGGAGTAGTGACATCATTTGTATTGGATTTTATTGTCACGAAAAATGAAATTCACCATGACTGCAATACATTCTATCATTTGACTCGATCATACGTACATTTCGGCCATTTCGACGTTCGTAGAAATCACGAATGCTATCATATTTTGCCTTTTGCATGAAACAAATCATTCTTTACATGCTTTTCTTTGTGAAATGAAATGAGGACAGATTCGAAAAGGCTTAGAAACCAAAGAAATTGGTTGGCTATGCTGATCAAACTTGATCCTACTATCTATGTTTCCCTATAGAGTATTAGTTCTTATGGTAAGAAAGCGAACAGATGAGCCAACAAGTGTAAAAATATTTTAACGGTGTATGTGACAGTCTCTTCTTAATTCGCACCTATCCTAGTAGTAGTGGTCTATTCTTCACCCGTACTTTACGGTTCCACGCACCCCACCTACTCTCAACATATTTGAGGATAGTTGGGTTCGTTGATACGAATCTTTTCTTGGATTATGTCAAAATTTCCATCCAAACACACATTCTTGTTCACACCCACACCAACAGCCACAGCTGCATCAACCGCCCCCTCTCCCTATCCACGTCTAAAATTGGCGTGCCTGAAGTTTGTTCACTCTTCCGCTCGATTTACATTTCGTTCATTGTAAATTTCTGCAATGTTGGAAAAATATGTCTAATAGATCGATCCGAATAGAATAATATTGAAATGACAATGGGGCGAAAGGCTCTTGAGAAAAGGTAGCATTGCTTGGCGAGCAAACTCGATTCTATTCTGCTATTCCATCAATCCACTGCAATCTATGGTAAATAGATACTCGTTGATCATTTCACCGTTGTTCATCGTATGTTGACAATCTTCTTTGCTTGGTATTGACGAAGCTGTCACTGTGCCTGATCCGACAACAACAATCATGTTCGATCGATTCTCAGTTAATTCAACGTCGACAAGAATATCTCGATCCAGATAAGTATTTTGCTGGTCAAATATAATAACGAACTCATCGTTCTAGCTGAAGTCAATTTGAATCGGATAAGACAATGAGCTGATTCGTGAAGCACTAAGTTTATCGATGCGGCGTCGAAAATCAGTCATATATGGGCTTGTTTAAACATACTTGCTGATGGTTTCAGTCAATAAATTGAGTCCACCCTTGTTAGGATTGTAATCAGAAAAGATGATTGTCGGAACAACAAAACGAATCTTGCAACTATTTTCCACCAGAGTCAGCTCGAAGACAACGGAAATCATCAGTTGACATTTTTCGCCTGGCATAAGACTGTCAACATTGATAATGATATTTTTCATCTTACTCGAGTGAATAAGTCTCACAACCTTGCTGAAAAGCAATAGTGTATTCTTGTCATACCTTTTCTTCTTCAAAGTAGCGACCATTTCTCACTCATCAATTGTAGCTAGGAAAGAGTAAACAGCAGCTTGTTCTTCGATTCAAAAGCAACATACAGCTTCGATTGGCATAATTTCATCATTACAAAAGAGTTATTTTTTTTGTTATGTAGGCAACGAGAAGCCGTATCATTGCTTCAATACTGGCATGCTTCAGTGGTACAGGGGATTCTTATATTGGCTAACAGCTATTGAAAACTTAGCCTTAATAAATACGAAGCATTTCATATTAAAGCATGCAATCGTGTTTGTCAAATCTCCTTATATAGTCATCATAGAGGAGAAGTGAGTGAGAACAAATAAATAACTCATGCATCTCAGAAAAAAGATAAGCACAGCGTTTCAAGATCGAGTCATGAGACAAGAATGAGTGAGCTTGTTGACAGAAGAAATTATTACGAAAGCAACTTTGTGCATAGCTGACATTACTGATGAGGTGAACTCATGCAGTCACAAATTTGCCTAAAATCCATGTAAACTCATAAAAACCAAGGGAGAAACAACTGATTTAAATCAGCTTACAATAAAAATTAACTCACCTTAACTCACAGTAAATCATGTAAAATCATCTACTTCAATTCAAAAACAATTTTTTCTAACTTCAAAGCATAATCAAACTTAATGTATTTCTTTTTGTACTACCAATGCTTAACAACTTTCAATATGAACGTTATCACACCGAGTATTTGTAAGAAAAGAGAAAAGAAGAACATCTGCCATTAAAAATAAACGAGGATATTGTTTTTTTTTGTACGACAAGTGCTAACAAATAGCTTCATTC